CCCCTCCCCCCACTCTTACCCCACTCCCTACCTCCACTCTTCTCTTTACCTCTCCACTTCCTATTCAAATTTCAGAGACCCGCCCGAAGCTTTTCATTTGTCTCCCAACTCGATGCCAGATTCATGTATGCTCGTCGTCGCCCACCTCGCGGCCCCTGCCCCTGCCCCAGCCAGCCCCTGCGCGCTCGGCTGTGACAGCCCCCCCAGGCCCCGCCGCCCGCCCCCGGCCCGACCCGCAAGGACCGCGACGGTGGCGCGGCGGGAAAATTCCGACGCGGGGATCTTTCAGAGATATCTTCTCTCTTCGACCGCCGCTCGCAGCCGTACCTAAAGGGACTCTTTGCGCGAGGGCCGTGACGCGCGAGTAGGGGGAGGGGGTCCAGTCGTTCCTACCCCCGGCTGTCGTCTCTAGTGAGCGAAAGGTGAGCAGTTTGTGCTTCAAAAACCCCGTAGTATATAGGCAACGTACGGTCCACCCTTTCACCGATCAGCTGGACCTTATCACTGGAAAAACAAAGGTATAACTTCATACATATCTAGTGGTAGTGGTCTTAAGTTTTGACGCATTTGTACAGGCACGAAAGGGCCCAAGTAAGGCACTAAAATTTAACACTTTTGAGCAGTTTTAAAGAACGTGTATGGGTGCTAATTTTTAATGCCTTGTGAAGACACTTAGACCCTTTGAGTCCTGCCTTTGTGGATGCGAACTGCCGAGCTTGCGGGAATGGCAATCTTACACTCCTCGTAAGCCGTTCCCTGCTTTCACCAGCAGCTTCCCTCCGCTGGAGACGCGTGGAGCCTCCAGGCGCGGGCGGGAGGGGTGGCGTGCGCTCTTCCGGGCCGCAAAAAGTTTCACGCAGTGAAGCTCCGGAAACGTTTCTTCTTCTGTTTTGCAAAAGAGCCACCGGTGAGCAAATCGACAGAGAAAAGAGGCGAGCAAAAAGGGGGCGGGTGTAAACAACTCCCTTCGTCGCCCGCCCCGAGGTAGAAAACACTTACAAAAAATAATCAGTAGAGAAACATGGATTGAAAATAGTGAACAAGGGCGGAAGGTGTGTGTAGTACAGAAAATTGCGAGAATTTGCATGGAGGAATCCTGGAGAGGGTACTCGACCCTCAAATCGGCGCTGCTGTTGCACACCGCAGAGACCTTCGGAGACCAAAAGTAAAGCAAAGTCTGGGAACGAACCAATGCGTGATGATCGTCAAATTTTCAGATTTCCAGGCCCCTCCCATTGTCGGTGCCAGTTGGTTTGGCGAGGAGGGCCAAGTGTATGCGTACTGTTCGTCACAGAGTACCGTGTCCCAGGCCCGGGGTGGGCCACCACGGGTGACCTGCGTAGCCTGCGCACAGCTGCCTATCGCCCATATACCTGCGAGGGAGTGGGGCTGCGTCCGGGGCACGGCGAGGAATGTGCGGAAACGCACTAGGGAGCCCACGACCCACGACCGCACAGGGCAGCCGCCGCGGACGCCACCCCTACCCGGGGATCCAGAGGGCAACAACCCCCAGCGCAATCCCCTCCCCCCAACCCCCCCTTTTCCTCCTCTGCTGCACCGACAACAACAAGTCGGGGCTCACAACCCTCACAACAATTTATTGCACACAACACTCCTCAGCGGCGGCCGCCACGCTGCCGCCCAGCAGCCCGGCCGGGGGGGTGGCCACGATTTGGCCACATTGTGGACACGTGATGCTGCCGCTGGCGTGGAACGAGCAGTGCAGGCCGGGACGGGTGCAATATGGTATCAAATCGACATGTTGCACAGGTCAAGGCCTAAACTGACAAGTCCTTCTCCGAATCCTCGTCGCGGCGCCCCGAGGCCGCGCGCGGTGAGCGCTGAACAGGCTCGGAACGCCTCCGTCGTCAATCTCAATACACACACATACCAACACCACACACGCACATATAGAGTCGGGCATGAGGGGGGGGGGCAACATGCAGGGAGGTTTATACCAGTCCAAGAGATGTGTGATGTGGCCCCGTCCCCGAATATCAACGGAACCAAACGCGAACGCACTGGCGACGACGCCTCGTGTCAGAGAGCGCTCGCTGCAACCCACTGACCCTCCCCGCCTCCCTCTCCCGCGCCGTGCGGCAGGGCGGGGCGGGGAGAGGCGCCAGGACCGTCAGGACGGCCCCCTATGAAGCGCTTGCTCCCACTCAAGGCCAAACAGCCGCGCCAGAGGCCAGGCCGAGCTTCCTCCTCGGCGCGGCATGTGGGGACGGGGCCCGGCCGGCGAAAGGAGTCAGTTACTGCCGACCGACTGTAGCGTCGTGACTCAGTGACCGCGCGCAGGGGCTGGGCGAGGCGGGGCGAGGCGGGGCGACGCGGCACCAAGCCCAGGAAGGCCCAAGCATACGCGCGGGAAAGGACAACTTATTTACAGGGGAGAGGGGAAAGGGTCGTCGCGATCTCGGGTGCGCCGTGCGGTTTGAACACGATCCTGAACCTTATCTCAAGTTAACAATGTGCAGGAATATCCGCCAGACCCCCTCCCCCCCTCTCGGCCGCTTATCAGCATGCAAAGTATACTCGGCCCCCTCTGCAGCAGAAGGCGCGGCGGCGGCGGCGGCGCCCAGGACGACGCGGCTCAGCTGTCGGAACCGTCGGGACCCTGGAGGGGAGGAAAGGGAGGGAGAGGGGTCCTGCGCGGGAGCTCGCTCCGTCCGACATGGCTCTGTCCAGCGGGAGGGACGAAAGCCCTCCAAAGGCTGATCCCCCCCCCCTCCCGCTCCCCCACGTTGACCGTGATAAACCAACAGCAGCGCGGCACGCCCCCGACCCGCAGCAGAAGTGCGCACGCACGCACCACACACATGCACGCACGGCGCAGGCGTGACTCATGTCACCTCCGTAATCAGAGGTGGAGTGGTCGGAAAAAAGGGGGGGGACATCAGCCGCACGTCGATGGCTGACCGGACACTAGCAGCGTGGCAAACTCAGATCAGCCTGCAAAATCACATGTTATACAATCTGGAGGGGTGGGTAAAAATTTTCACGAAAAGTTTGGTCTACAAAGTGGTTGGTGCTCCAAAACTTTTTTCTTCGTGAGAATCGTTTACCTTTTTTTTCATGCGATAATCCCTACGCTCGTCTCTCTGGCCTCGAGTAACCGTTACGGTCCTAATCCGAGAGATTTGCTGTTGGGCAGCGCGCGCGTATATCGACTCCCCCCTCTCCTCCCCCTCCCACCCCTTCAGACTGGAGGCTTTAGTCGAGCCCTGTAGAGGTCGTGCCTTACTATAGGTATTTACGACGCAGCTCCCGGCTCATACGTTCGAGGGGCAGAATTTTTGTTTTTAAAATAAAATGGTGGTTGCCATCGACATGGCGCAAACAGACTATTAGGTTTTGATGCGATAACCGAGAAAACCCTACCCACCCTAGGATGTTTAGGTCACAGTGTTGCTTTCGAATGAACACCACAAGGAATGGGAGTCAAAGGCTAAGTCGAATTATTAAAACACACATCTCAAGACGGAAATGATCAGAACAGAAAATTAACAAGGAATGACCAACACCAGATTTTTTCGGGGGAGGGGAGGGTGGCAGCGGTTCATCAACACTTACCCACTGTTGACGGCGACTGCTGCGATCTCCGGCTCGGGGGTGTCGTTCCAAAACAGCGGCCGGTCCATCCTCGGGCAGTCGTCAGGAGGGTCCCGGAGTGCTGCTCCAACGGGGTGCGATCCGACTGTGCAGAGACCAGGGCGGCCCGCAAGTTAGTTACCACTCGCAGACTCGAACAGTGGGCACAAACTTACGGGCCGCTCGGATCGGGATGTGCTGTGCTGCTGGGCCGTTGGAGAAGGTTGCCGTCTCCTGGAGGACGCCGACGAGGATGAGGACGACGATGTATCCGCTCGCTCAGCTGCTCCGGAGTGAAGCGCGGCCAAGGCGAGTGTCTAACTACTACCGGCACCGGCCGGGGCGGGCGCGCGGGCCCACCCCTCCTCCACGGAGCCCCAGCAGCCCCAGTGGGGCCCCGCTCAGCCCCGCGGGGGACAGCGCGACGGCGGCCGGCCGGGAGAGAGGAGAGACGACGTTCGCCCGGGGCGAGCTGCGCGGACAGACTGCGGCGGGCGGCGGCTGGCGGCTGGGCTGGGCTCTGTTGGGCTGGCGTGGCGGGGCGGGGCGAGCGGCTGAGCTGGGCTGGGCTCGGCGGCTCGGCATCGCAGGATGGCTGGACGAGGACGGGACGCTGCGGCTCCCCCCCCCCCCTTCTTTCTACCCCTCCCCGTTCTCACTGGTCTCTCTCTTCCTCTCTCTTTCATGCTCTCTCTTTGTGATTGTTCTCTCTCTTTCTCTCTGCCTCTCCCCCCATCGACACACGCAGGTCTGACCTGAGCTGAGGGGTCCGCGGACCAGCCGTTGGAAAGGGGCGAGAAGGGGGAGGCGGGGAGTGCCCCAGAAGTAAAGGGGACGGAGGAGACGGAGATGGTGGA